TGCTAAACATGGATCTTTGTATTTACAAAGTACACCATATACCATTGTCACCCAAATTCCCTCTGGGTCTCTTGCACTATCAAGCAAACCATATAGCATATCTTTATGTGCATTTATTATTATTGTGGGGGGGAGATGGGAGTAACAGAGGAATGAGTACCCAGTACCTAGACCCATGCCTCTGGCTGCATAGCTCTGAGTCTACCATATCAGACCTTGCCACACCCATAGTCACCACTAGCTTTCACTCAAGCCTCACGGGCAAGCAATCTTGCCCCAGGTCCATAAGTGTCAGTCTATTGTGTCCTTGAGCTGCTGCATGCATGACTGTGCATTCCCCATGCCACAGCTCATGTCTTCTGTCCCCAGATGGCTCCCAGCAGCCCCCCAGTAGTCCATACTCTGTGGCAGGCCCCACCCCTTGGAGGAACTAGCAAATTGGGAGACAATCCACCCCTTACCGACCTTTCTAGTGTACAAGTGACATTAATGGAAATAGCCTTGGTGAACTGGAGGACCTCTAGGATCTCTCTCTGAACAACTGCTCATAAGGGGGCAACCCACCCCGGTACTGTAGATTTTCTTAACAGTTGTGTAGTTTGGGAGTCTCTGTCCTCATCTTACCCAACCTACATGAAACTCCCAAGAATCTTACAGCTATAGCTGTCCATTGCTTCTTCAGGTATCTTTCAAATGGGTTTCACGTCTATAAAATACTCAAAGGAAGGTTAATATTATATATTAAATCAATCGTAGACAAGGTCTCATACAGCATGGAAAGGTTTTGTCTGTTCATATTAACTGTTTTCTCCATGGATCCTTGGGTATGAGGCATTAATTTGGTTAGCTCTTTATCATTTTTAGTTATCCCTTTGTATCCTTTTATTCTTGATACACTTACAGTTGTTGGCTCCAGTTGCCTGACCCTGCACTGGGCTAAGGAGGCAGGGGCTTCTCCTTTTCCTGCTGCACTTGTTGGTTCCCTGAGTCAGACAGGCTCTGGGTCTGCCTCCTGACTGTAGCCACATCTGTCATCTTCCCATTGACCACACCAGGTTGCTGAGGGGAGAACTTGGTGGAAAAAACTTGCTTCCACCCTTAGTATAGCCTTTACCAGAAGAGAAATGCATCTTATTTCATCCTTGGGGATTCAAAACAAATCTTCGCATACCAGCAACATATCCCCACATTTACAACATAGCTGTGGCCCATGCTTCTGTGTGGCTGGCCTCTTTCTAGCTACAGATTTTATAATCCATTGTATAACCCATACGGCTATCCCTAACCCCATTAAGCTTATGGGTTTTAATTGGCTTCTCTCCTGGATTTGAGACTCAGAGCCTAGCTGACCCACCACAGGGGAAGCAGGAACAGCACAACTTTCTGAGACCCACATCCCCAAGGCTGTGGTTCCCTTATCAGGCCTAACTATGCCAATTTTCTCACCTGAATTCCCACTGGGTTTCTTGCGCTATTAAGTAAACCATGTAATATATCTTTATGCGCATGTATTATTATCGTGGGTGGGGGGAGTAATACAGGACTGAGTACCCAGTACCTAGCCCTGTGCCTCTGGTGGCTTGGCTCAGAGCCTGCCATATTAGACCACACCATGCCCATAGTCACCTTTAGCATTCACTCAGGACTCAGGTGCCAGCGATCTCGCCCCAGGTCCATAAGTGTCAGTCCATTCTGTACCTGAGCTGCTGCATGCGACTGCGAATTCCCCACGCGGGTGGTTTGCATCTTCTGTCCCCAGATGGCTCGAAGCAGCCCCCCAGTAGTCTACATTCTGTGGAAGCCTCACTCCTTGGAGGAACTAGTGAACTGAGAGACAACTATGCATCAAATAATCGTTTTACAACAGGTACATATATCTTTAAGGAAGCAGCACTCAACTGTATTCATATGCGTTTGGAAAGGTTTCATTAAAAATTCTCAAACTTTTAATATGACACCAAAATTTGGAAAGTAACAGCAAAAATTTTATTGGAGGGACTCATGTTAGGGGACATGTTGGGCGTTTATTTGTGCTCAAGACCTATAATCTTGAAAACTACTTTGAGGTTTTGTCTGACTTGAACTTGAGCGGATCCTGTGTATGCTGTCACAATTGTTGTGTGTTCATGTATGCAAATGACCTGTAGTCCTGAAAACACTTCTTCCTTGTAGTTGTCCAACAACACTGCCTTTTTAATTCTCCTCCTTTATCTCTTTTCCAACAATGCCTGAGCATTGAGGAGAAGAATATGATAGATCTAGATGTCCCATTTGGGGCTGAGTGTTCCACAGGGAAAACAGCATCATGGGTTCGGAGGAAGGGGAAACCCTCAAACCCTAGCTGAAGAGCTGTTGGTATGTGGAAGGTGCTGGGGCAGGAAGAATCAGTTTTATCTGAGCATGACATTTGGAAAGTCCACCACTTTTCTGGCACTTTCCACACCAAGGGATATTTGGGCTACATATATTGAACTCACAGGGAAAGAAGTAAACATGAAATGAATGGGTAGTGAGTGAAGGTATATCTGGGAATACTTGGGGGAGGGGACATATTATAAAATACACCCTATCAGGTTCTCAAATAATCCATAAGATAGTTTAAAATAAACTGACTGAGAGAAGCATGTTTCAGAAACTTCAAATAAAACTATGAAAGCTAGCATTTCACAACTCACTGTTTTTCCCATTTAGCACATTCTTTGATTAAACATAGGTCTAATCAAACCATCTCATGAGTAAATATTAGTGCAAATGGGGAAATGAAAATATTAGCTTTGATTATGTGCAGAACTTGAAGATAAGGCTGTTTTGATGAAAACTGGACATACTTTGGACACAGGACTTGGAATAATGGAGCTAGAATTGACCTGGAAGCCTCTTTCCTGAAGACTAGTTCTCAAAGTTCCTGGGAAGTATGCAAGTTACTGTGGGAGAAAAATAAACCAGTGGGCTAACCCCAATTTTAAAGCCTAAACACCACAACAATGACAAGCACAAGAAGCTATAGTAGTTCAGTAGAGGCACATTTATCTTGGTGATATTCTACAGCTATCTACTGGACTTAAAACCAGCCCAGTGGGAGTGAACTTAGGTGTGTTACTGTAGACACAGTTAATACACATGGATGGAGAGGTCTTGGATCCTAGGGAAAACCCTCCCAAACTGTCACATCCCTAGACAAGTACAATTTCTTGCTGTGCTCTCCATACTGATCCTTATATTTACAAAAAAAACAAATCATTCACCACTTATCAAAGAAGATTCTTTTCAAAACAGGGAGATTTTTTGAGTTTCATAAGTATTCTCTGTGGTTAAATACAGAGAATAATTGTCAGAGAGATGCACAATCCTAAGCGACACATGTACCATGGAATCTCTACACATGAAGCTCATGGAACATAGTGGTATGGTGAGTAGGGAGAATACTAATACATCATTTAAGTCTTGTCAACCAAACTTCCTCATGTAACAGAGGGTGATGTACACTGAAGATCACACCTAGCCACTGTGTAGAGTATAAGCAACTGTAGAGTGTGCGTCCCTGGATAAGGCTCCTTTATTAAGCCTCACCTACCCTTGACTCAGGAACCATTGCAGAAGAGGCAGCAAAAATATTGTAACAGCCAGGGTTAGTGCATGACCACAGGGACACAAAGATTCCCAGGCCTCTGGGAACTTGCTCAGATGAACTTCAGCAATGGTGAGAGCACTCTGAAGATTCAGTAAGACAAACGCAGTAAGACAAAAACTAGCATAGAACTGGGGAAATGGAAGAAGGCTCCAATCTTAGTCAAGGAACTACTGACTGCTGATTATTCCAGGTGAGGGAGAGTAGCTTCTTTAAGAGAGTAACTCTTGATAGACTGTCTAGACTACAGTGGATGAAATCAGAACAGCTGGCATCTGGATACACAAACATGACTCGGTATGCCTTAACTTATATGACAGAAGGTGTGAAAACCATCCTGGGGGATTTGAGGAGTGCAGGTGGGGAGGGGTTTAGATACAGTTAAGATCATTAACATAACTCTGAAATGATCAAAAATTACTTAAAATATATTGAAAAATATTAAAAAGCTTATCCCACAAAACCTAACCATCCATGACTCTGTCTCTAACCTGTATTGTTTAGCAAAGGTTTGCCTCTAAAATTGTGTGATTAATTGTTCAGAGGTAAGAGTGCTTTCAGAAATCAACCATTTGCAATTGCCTTATATAGGATTTTGATTCCAAAAAGAGTTTAGCACAAAAAAATATCCTTTGACACCATACACATTTTTTCATAATATAGTCATGATTGGAGAACATAAAAGGAGATAGTCTGTTCTGCTATAGTTACAATGACTTAACTCAGGAAATTCTGCAGCTGTGCTTTCCTTATGTTAATAATTTCTTTGGCAGTTTTCTCAGTGCTGCAGAGATATCCTTGTTTTTCAACGTGTATATAATTGGATTCAACAGTGGTATCAAAACAGTGTAGAAAAGAGACAATAGTTTTCCAATTCCTTCAGATGCATTTGGATTGGGCCGTATGTAAGTAACAGCAACTGTTCCATAGTATAAGACTACGACTATCAGATGTGAGGAGCAGGTGGAGAAGGCTTTAGACCTCCCTCCAGCAGATGACAACTTCAGAATGCTGCAGATAATTTTTCCATAGGAGACAATTATCAGCAGAAATGGAACCATGATAAGCACTGCAGAAACAACGAAGATTGCTAAATTATTCACAAATGTGTCTCCACAAGCAAGCCTGAGGATAGGTGGAATGTCACAGAAGAAGTGATTAATTCTGTTAGATCCACAAAAAGACAATGAGAAAATCTGGTATGTTTCTCCAGTCACAACTAGAATGTCGCAGACCCAACAGGCAGTCAAGAGTTGTACACATACCCTGTGGTTCATCGTCAGAGCATAGAGCAAAGGCTTGCAAATGGCCACATAGCGGTCATAGGCCATCACTGTTAGGAGGAAGCACTCAGTACCTCCAAATGTAAAGAAAAACCACACTTGCATTGCACAGCTCAGCAAAGACATGTTCCTTTTTTGGGCACAAAAGTCCACCAGCATTCTTGGGATAGTGACTGTTACATAACAGATTTCCACAAAAGAGAAATTGCTGAGGAAAAAATACATCGGTGTCTGAAGAGCAGGGTCAATTCTTGTTACTAGAATTATGACGATGTTGCACATCAGAATAGACAAGTACATGAGGAAAAATATCCCAAACAGAAGCCACTTGAGATGGGGAACATCAGAAAAACCCAGGAGAATAAATTCCATCACTGTTGTGATATTTGAATCTTCTGTTGTAATATGCGCTCCATCTGCAGACATGATAAATTCAACATGTTTATTCATTCATTTTCTCAAATACACTGAGGTTTTTGTTGATTCAAATAGATGCATAAATATGCTTGTATTTGCTCTTAAATTATTATTCCCCATTACTTTGGTTTGTTTATGATGAGATTTATAACACTCAAAATTACTTAACATGTATTTAAAATGAAGTGAAAAAATAAATTTCATTTTACTAGACTTAGTTTCCCCCAAATTATTACTAATTATTCATCACTAATAATAGAACACAAAGAGAGTGCAGCATTTCCTTATTTTGTTGGTGGAATTTTTAAAAATATGGACCTTTTAGATTTTTGTGTTTGCATATTTGTTTTTACAGCCATCATTTCCATTTTTTTTAATCTTAAAACTTCCTTTGAAATTTTTCTTTAATTCTTACTCAAAGTGAGCTTTAAGTTTGTCCATTTTTACTAGTGATTCATTTTTCTGAATTCAATTCCTGTATAGGAGAAAGTAAATACATTGCTTATTGTTAATCTTATAACCCTCATGTAATTTATGAAAATATGAAAAAAGAATGATTACAAAATAATTAACAAGAATTTCTCCATGAATGCCTACTATAACTTCTATTTAAAAGTATTATTTTAATTTATCAAACCAAAACTAACTTTTCACAGCACATTAATAAATGTCCATAAGTATGGAGTTTCCAGTTAATTATATAATTCACTTTTACACCAATGTGATTTCCTTACTCTATTGTCCTTATACGATGATATATGGAGAAATTGGATTGGTGACTATTTCATCACTCTGTCTATGCAAGTTAGTAGAACATCTTGAATTGAAAAACAAACATAACAAATAATAATTCAACTTTCTTCATTATTTTAATATCATTTATATGAATAAATCAATACTATTTGCAGTGCTCATCATATTTTATTAATGCTTCTTACCTAGGTTCTCAAGATAAATAATCATATGTTTTCATGATTTCTTAAGTCTTTGCCCCCTGTGCCACTTCTAGCCCTGTCAGCTTATGGTTTTGGTTAATATGTGTAAGGAGCAAAATAAGACATTGTATTTTTAAATTTCCATTTGTGTTCCTTTTCAATTCTATATGAAATAAATGATGTATTATTAATATCATTTTTTTACTGTTTGAGTTATATCTGGTATTCTCAGCATTGTATGGCCATCCATAGACCATGATTTGATATATTCGTAATTATGTTTAATAACAAGGTTAGGGATATGAGCTGTAGTTAGCATCTTACTTTAAAATAAAAGCTCAGAATCTCATGTTTTTCTATTTTATCAAGTGAGCTTAACTCTCTGAATTAAAGGAATTCTAAACCACAGTATTGAAACAACATAATTGTAGCTTACCTGTGAAGTCTGCCATGAAGTAAACGATAAGAGGAGAGCTGATTTTTCAGGGTCTGTGGTAAATAAACTAATCTTTTTCTCAGGAAGTTCCAGTAAATCCACAATAATTATATTTGCTCAAACACTCAACTACACTTAAGTAGGGAAAAAAGTGCACACATGCTCTTGGGATCATGTTCTCTTGAGAATACGCTCACAAATTTTTATTTCAAATGAATTTCTGAGACTCCTAAATTGATCAAATTTGCGTCCTGTGTTATCATTTTCTCTTGGGGGTTTTCAGCTAACCCTCAGTTTTAAATTTTTACTCTGACCTTTGGACAATAAAACAGTTCAAGCATGACATAAAAATTTAATTTGACATTCACGTTTGATACATATATTACATATCATTTCTTTCATGTATGAACAGTCTTAATATCTTCCATTTTTTTCAACTTTTGCTTGCTATTAAATCTTCTTAAGTATCTCTCACCTCTGTGCTAAATGAGTTTTATTTCTCCATCCATTGATGAGAAGATCATGTGATTTTTTTTTCAGTTTTTGATGCAATAACAAATTCACTTATGTTAAATAATCCATTTATATAAGGAAAAATGGTATTTAGTCAATTTTTTTCAACTTTTGCTTGCTATTAAATCTTCTTAAGTATCTCTCACCTCTGTGGTAAATGAGTTTTATTTCTACATCCATTGATGAGAAGATCATGTGATTTTTTTCATTTTTTGATGCAATAACAAATTCACTTATCTTAAATAATCCATTTATATAAGAAAAAATGATATTTAGTCACACTGCACGATTAGTCTAAAAATTTTTGTAATAAGTTTGGTAAAAATATGAATATAAAATGCATATTGTATATCTGTGTTACCATATCTGTATATATATCCATATATATATATATATATCCATCCCTGAAAGATGTTTCATCTCAATTTTTTATTGAGCTTTTTAAACATTTCATACAACAGTTCTCAATCAAATTTAGATCCCGTCCCCCATTCATGCCTTCCCCTGCCCGCCTTCCAAACATCATGTATTCTGCCATATATGTTAAGCCCTATACATTCAGGAATTTGTACCCAAATGTCCTTCAGTGTAAATTTGACCACTGGAGTATGCTCAACCCATATAGAGATCGTATGTAAGGCATATTCCCTGGCTCTTACACTTTTTCTGCCCCCCTCTTCCACAATGATCCCTGAGCTGTTGTATGGGTTTCCATATAGGAGTCCTATCCTATACTCTGCAGTCTCTTATTCTTTAAAAATTGGCCAGTTGCAGCCTTCTGTGTTCATTGCACTTTGTTGTATAAGAAAGTTTTACTGATAAGAGTTGAGGGATGAATTAGTTTTTCTCTCTATCCCATGTGCTGCTATTTTTTATGAGACTTAGTTGTAGAAGTTCAACTGTAGATGTGTCACGTAGTACTGGGCATCTCTCAGACTTATGTTCTCTGTGCCTGACCAGATGTGCAGTTCTGGAGTAACCTCCATCTGTTGCAAAATAAAAAATAAAAATTAAAAACATGGTGTCTGGCAAACTTGTCTGTAAATACAATGATCCATATTTAGCACATAGTAAGAAATCAAATTTGTTTAGGGATGTGACAGCCTTGGGGTTTTCTCTAAGATCTATAACCTCTCCAGGAATGTGTATTTGGCTATATTTACAATGCCACCCATGAGTTCCCTCCCACTGAGAGGGCTTTAGGTTTTGTTAGATAGCTGTTGATTACCCCATAGATAACAATGACACATTGCACCAATAGAGGTGATTCACCATGCTGTCATTACGATTATTAGGCTTTAGGACTGGGTTGGATCACTTATTGTAGAGATCTTTAATGTCTTTGGTTAGGCTTATTCCTAAGTATACTTTGTAACTATTGTGAATGGGAGAGTTTCCTTGAGTGCTTTTTCAATTGCTTATGACTGGTATATAGAAAGGCTACTGATTTTTGTAAATTAATTTTATAACATCACTTTACTGAAAGCATTACTCATTTCTAAAAGTTTTCACATGGACGTTTTGAGATCTCTTATGTGTAATATTATGCCATCTTTAAATAGAGATAATTCACCCTCTCCATTTTCAGTTATTACTCCTTTAATTTCCTTCTCTTGCATTATTACTCTCACAAGAGTTTCAAGCATTGTATTGAAAAGGAGTGGAGAAAGTGGATAGCCTGTCTGGTTCCTGATTTTAATGGGAATGCTTCCATTTTTTTCTCCATTTAGGATGATGTTGGCTATAGATTTGTTGTATATAGCTTTAATTATGTTGAGGTATGTTCCCTCAAGGTCAGTTCCTTCAAGGGCTTTTAATATGAATACATGTTGGATTTTGTCAAAAGCCATCTCTGTATCTATTGAGATGAACATGAAGTTTTTGTCTTTATGTCCATTTGCATGTTTTATCACATTTATTGATTTATATATATTGAACCATCCCTGCATCTCAGAAAAAATGCCAAATTGATTGCGGGGGATGATCTTTTCTATGTGTGTCTGTATGCAGATTGTATTTCATTGAATATCTTTGCATCTATGTTCATTAAGGATATGGAGCTATACTCTTCTTTTTTGTTGTATCTTAGCATTATTTTGTTGTATCTTTATTTGGTTTGGGTGTTACAGGGATACTTGCTGCATAGAAGGAGTTTGGGAGTTCTCCTTCTGTTTTTATCATTTTGAATAATTTAAGCAGTATTTTCTTTGAATGTTTGATAGAATTCTGCTGTGAATCCATCTCGGCCTGGGAATTTTTTTTTCAGTTGGAAGGATTTCTATAACTGTTTCATTTGCCTTATTTGTTTTAGTCTCTTTAAGCTGTTGATTTCTTCTTAGTTAGACTTTGGTGGTAACCATGGTTTTAGAAATTCATCCATTTCTTTTAGAATTTCAAATTTAATGGAATATATATTTAAAATATTCTCTTACAGTGTTACAGTGTTTTCATTTGGTGGGGGAGCTTGTCTGTTGTGATGTCTCCCCTTTCATCTGTGACTTTGTTTATTTGAATTTGCTTTTTATTTCTTTTGGGCTTTGGGTCATTCTATCTTGTTTAATCTTTCAAAGAGATAGTTTTAGATTCTTTGATTTTTGCTTTGTTTACTTTGTTTCTATTTCATTAATTACTGCTCTGATTTTGTAATTTCTTCTCATCTACTAGGTTTTAGGTTGATTTGTTCTTGCCTTTCCAGGGTCTTGAGTTGTACTATCAAGTCATTTATATTTGCTTTTTCTGATTTCTTAATGTAGGCACTAAGAACTATAATCTTCCCCCTTAGGACTGCGTTTCAGGTGTCCCAGAGGTTTTGTTGCATTGTAGTCTCATTTTTATTTTGTTCTAAGAATATTTTCATCTCTTTCTTGATTTCTTCCTTGACTCATTCATCATTCAACAGCATGTTGTGTAATCTCCATGAGTTTGTTACTAGAGCTTCATTTGTTGTTAATTATAAACTTTATTTCACTGTGGTCTGATAGAAGCCATGGAACTATTTCAATCATCTGTGTTTTTTGAAACTTGTATGTGTCCCAGAAGGTAATTAATTTTAGAATAACTTGTGTGGGCTGACAGGTAGAAAGACTATTCTTTGGTGCTTGGGTGAAACATTCTGTAGTTCCATTTGATGT